AATAAACATAAACATAGTTTAAAGATTTTGGTCCCTGTGAGAGCAGAGACAATCAGTTCTCTTCACGACTGTCACTCTAAGAAAGTGCATGGCCCAAAGTTGGTGTTCAACAGATCATTTTAGGTTGAATGAAGTAGATCATCCTGGTCTTGGGGTCTTAAGGAGTGATGGAGTTGGATGAGCAGGTTCAAGAAACTTGAACCCCCCTTCCCCCATGAAGGTGAAAATTAGGTCTAACAGCAGAACCAAGCGAGGAAAATAACAGAAAAAGGAAGCTGTGGTTAGAGAAAAGCTCTCAAGGTACTTTCTACTTGAAGCCTTTCGTAACCACGCCATGGGGTGTTCTCCTCTCCTTTGCCTCTTTGAAGACACTGCATCTTTTACAGTGTCAAGTTATGTACACGTGGCCTACTTTCTTCTCTTTCTTGACCCCAAATATGGATGCTGTCTTTCAAAAGAGACTGAATTTGGAAAACGAAGGTGACTTCAAGTCCCAGAAACACAAACTGTGTGTTTGAAAGTTTGGCATTCCTGGTGCATGTCTACAGTGTACAGACTGAAGCTAAAGTAGAGTATATACATCAGGAGGCTGGATTTCAAATCTAGATTATACCCAAAAGTACAGCAAAATGCATTTCATTGAATGAATAAGGCTATGTGGGCACAGAGACTAGAAAGAAAATAACATGACTTAACTGTTTGAGACCCATCAGTCTGACAGTGTGATACAGGTAAAAATGACAAGACAGGCCTGCTGTTAGAATGCATTTTAGAACTGGCAAATGTGGGGAAAAAAAGTAAAGCATAAATAAAGGTCAGTGTGAATAAAAGGGAAAGTGAACATAAAAGCAAGTTTAAAAGTTAAGCAGGTGTCTTGGTTTTCTTCCTATTGCTGCGACAAACACTGCCCCAAACCCAACTTGGAGCAGCAAGAGTTTGCTTCAGCTTACAACTCCCAGGTCACAGTTCGACAAAAAGTCAGGAATGCAAGGCAAGAACTTAAGTGGAGACCATAGAGGAGTGTTGCTTCATGGCTTGCTCTCCGTGGCTTGTTCGGGTTGCCTTTCTTGAACAATCCGGGGCCACCTGACCAGGGATGGCACTGCCTGGTGTGGGCTGTGGCCCCCACTCCATCAATCATTAATTGAGAAAAATGCCCTCACAGACTTGCCTTCAGGCCAGTCTGATGGAGGCATTTCCTCAGTTGAGTTTCCCTCTTCCCAGATGACACTCAAGACATGTGAAACACTGTGCTTAGTACACCTTACATGTATTACACCATTTTTATCATCACAACAGCATTATGAGGTAGGTGCTACTTTATTTTACAGATGGGGAAACTGAGTCATAAGACTAAACAACTCGCCTGAGTCATTAGGTAAGTGGCTGAACTAGTACAACGTATCGGATGTTTGTGTTCATGCTGAAATCCTACCCAACATGTTGCTCATTGTGCTTTCTTATATAACCTCGGACTATCTGCCCAGAGTGGCCACACCCACAGTCGATCGGACACTCCCACATCAATCATTAATTAAGAGTATGTCCCAAGAGCGTGCCTACAGAGCAGTCTGATGGAGGGGATTCCTCCATTGAGAGTCTCTCTTCCTGGGCATGTTCAGGTGTGTCAAGCTGACAAATACTAAACAACCAGTATAACATCCATAAAGATTTATTTAATGTGTCTTTGCCTACATATATGCATGGATGTGCACCATGTGTGTGCCTGGTGCTCATGGAAGCCAGAAAAGACTGAGGAACAGATGAAGTCCTGAGTGAATGTGTGTTGTTGACACCGGCCACAGTCATGTCAAGGACACCAAAGCCTCAGACCCATGGGAATGGCAAGGCCTTCCCTTTGTTCTAAGTATGGATGTTGATTGACAAAAGGTTGTTCTTTAGCTAAGCCCAGTACATGCAGAAAGTACCTACTGCAGCTTCTTCATGCCCAAGACTGCAGCCTCAGACTTCTCCACTACTGGCCTCCTCTTTTGTGCTGTATATAATAAATGTGCTTGCTGGACCTAGTGGTGCATGACTGTAATCCCAGCACTCATTGAGGCAGAGGCAGGAGGATTACTGTGAGTTTGAGGGCAGCTTGGTCTACAGAGTGAGTCCAGGACAGCTAAGACTCCACAGAGAAACCCTGTCTTGAAAAAACAAAATAAAATAAAACACACAAACAAACAAATAAATGTGCTGTTGCCCAGATGTTAGTGGTAAATCTCCTTCCAAGTGCAAGGCCTAGCCCAACGCAGCTTTATGTTACCTGTACCTGTCATTTCTTCATTTCCTGTTGCCCCACTCAGGTCAACTGTAAAGCCATGCAAGGCTGAGGTAGAAGAGGGCATCAGATCACCTAGAACTGGAGCTGTTGCAAACTGCCATGTGAGTGCTGGAAATGAAGCTGGTTCCTCTGCAAGTGTTCTTCCTTGCTGACAGATCTTTCTGCCCAGTCAGTACCCTTAAAACAGGAACCTGAGAGTTCCTGACCTCTTTTTCACATTGTGAGGAGAAAATGGCCATTTGCACTCCACACAAACATGTTCAGAGCCTGGCTCTACTGATAATCTGCTCTCAGACTTCTAGATTCCAGAACTGGGAGAAACTTGTTTACAAACCACTAAGTCTAAATGCTTTATTATAACAACCCAAACTCACTAAGAGTCAGGATTTGAACCCAACCATGTTACTTAAAAAAATCCCAGACCCACAGAGAAATTTGCTGTTTATCCAATAAATAGTTAATGAGTGCTGCTCTATTCTAAATATGTTGCTAGGGTAGGAAATGAAGAAAAGCAGGCAGTAAAAGGACAGAGGTAATCCTGCCCTATATTCACATTAGAAAAATGATCAGATAATTACAGGTACAATGAATCAGAGAGAAATGTGACACATTACAACTTGATAAGAGTAAAGCATTCTAGGGAAAGGAGATGTGCAAATGCCCTGAGGTGAGAGCCTGCAGTTGAAGGGAAAGCGGAAGAGCCTAGTTAATATGGCTGGAGAACAGAGAGTAAGGGAGACAGCTGGAGGTAGGAGAGCCAGAGCCAGATAATAGAAAGGAAACCACTGAAGGGCTTTATGAAGGGTAGTGTACATGACTAGATCTGTGTCGTTACAATTCGTTTGGCAGCAGAGAGGCAAATAAGACTGCAGTGAGGCAAGAGCAGTATTAGAGAATGTGACAGTGGCCCCTGCAGGACTTCCAGCAAGAGATGAAAGCAGTGTAGCCCAGCGTGCTGGTGAAGGAATGCAGTGGCATCCCCCCAAATTTCAGGAAGCAGACAATCAGGTGATTCTAACTTGTATCAGAAGTGGGCTAAGTTTCTAGGGCATCTACTTGTCCTGACCCTTGACAACAGTGAGAGGGGAAGGTTAGGAAGGAATATGACAAGGAACGTTGAGGAGGACTAACACACTCTGGTCATCCATCCACATGGACCTGTAGCACAGGCTGCTGGAAAGATGCCTAAGGAAGGCTGGAGAGTCTGAGGGAGGGCATTTGAAGCCAGTAGATGAGACCACCGAGGGAAACAGACTATGGTGGGGCTCGTGGAGGATCAGGGCACAGACAATTCCAGCACAGGAGTTGGATAAAGGAGAAGCTAGTTGTTGAAGAGTGGGGTCAAAAGGAAAACTGTCAGGAGAAGAGGGGAGAAGTATATTTGGAAGAGGTCCCACGGTCAACCGCTGGGGTGGTCATGCAAATTAAGGACTGAAAAGTAGATAGTAAGAATATGACAATTCAGAGCCACGGCCAATGGAGAGAGACCTACCGAGGAAGCTTTTATACATTATTTATTTATTGGCCACACATACTACTGTGTACTATGACGTAAGTGCTGAGGTCAAAGGACAACTTATGGGAGCCAGTTCTCTCTTTCTACCATGTGGGTTGTGGCAATTGATTTCAGATGACTAGGCTTGGTGGCAAGGGTCTTTTTTTATCCATCTCATCGGTCCCAGAGAGTATTTTTTAAAGAACGGAAGAGGCATTAGCATAGTAGCAGTTCTGGTTAGAAACAAAAGGAAAATCAAGCTACCCTTCAGCGCAACGTCCCTGGGAAAGCAGGAAGGGATAGGATACAGAATGAAGGCAAACTCAGCGTTACAAAAAGGCAATAAAGGCCGGAGTCCAGCAGGAACAAGAATTATAGAAAGAGGGCTGAAGGGTTCAGGAAAAAAAAAAAAAAAGTGAACCAGTGGGGGAAGGGGGAAACCTCAGAGAGCAGTTGCAGTAGCTTGGAGGCTACGGAAGTCACACTGTCTGTCAGGTTTCAGGGTGCAAAGCGGGGGGGGGGGGGGGGAAGCCGCACCGTACCGCCGCAGCAAGCCACCGCTGCAGAAAAAGCAACGCAGGACGTTGCCTGGAAAAAAGGAGGCAGGCAGGTGCGGTGAGGGTGTATTTCGAGTGTCGAGAGCATCGGCCAGAGCAGACCACTCTCCGGCCTCAGTGTAGGACAACGTACCCGGGGGCTCTGGCTGTCGCGTGCAGCCACATGTACCATAGCTGTCGTCCCAGCAAAGAACCAGCTCGGTCCCCTGCAGACAGTTCTGGGCAGATTCCCCTGGCTGGTGGCCGGCGTCTGCCCGGTTCCAGCGCCGCCCGCGCGGGCTCTGAGCCCTCGCGGTACGTCAAATTTCCCGGGCGGTCTGCTTCCGCCGCAGGAGCATACCGCGCGCGGTTTCCAGCAAGTCCCCGCCACCCCGGGAATCCCCCCATCTGGCCACAGACAAACCCCCGCTTCCTCCAAATTTCCTCAGCCGGCGTTCGAAGCCTCCACCGGCCGCCGTGAGGTCTCAGACCGCTGCACCCGAGCGGCTCTCTGCCGCCTTCCGAGAGCAAGCCCTCCGCCGCTCGCGGGAGGGGCCGAAGGCTTTCGTCAAGTTCCGCCACTAGCACGGGGGCGGGGCCTCTCGAGCGCCTCCCGGCCGAGCTCGGCTGTTTCCGTGAGTGGCCGCTGCGCACTCGGCACTGGGCGGCGCTGGCTGGCTCCCTGGCTGCGGCTCCTCAGTCGGCGGCGGCTGCTGCTGCCTGTGGCCCGGGCGGCTGGGAGAAGCGGAGTGTTGGTGAGTGACGCGGCGGAGGTGTAGTTTGACGCGGTGTGTTACGTGGGGGAGAGAATAAAACTCCAGCGAGATCCGGGCCGCGAACGAAAGCAGTGACGGAGGAGCTTGTACCACCGGTAAGAGGAGCAGGAGGAGGAGGCAGGAGCCGGAGAGAGCCGGGGGGCCGGAGGGGGGCCGGGGAGGCGCCGGACACCCGCGCTCGGGGCCTTCCCCTCGCAGGAGGGGCCGCGGCAAAGATGGAGCCTCCGCCCGAGCCCCACAGCCCCGCCGCCGCTCGCAGCGAACAAAGAATAATGGCGGCGGACTGGAGCCAGCGGCGGCCGGGCGGCAGCGACTCTGCCTCGCAGCCAGCGGCGGCGCTCATGGCGGGGG